ATAGGAATTAGCGTCGGGTGTTGCGCAATAGTCGACCCTACACAGTAGACTCGGTGTCCAATCCGAGGCTCAAAGATATATGAAAACATGAACTCGTTACCTTGATGCAATCTCTGTTAAATCTAACGAGACCCTGCTGTAAATCAAGGAGACAACAACAGATGATCAACATTAATCCGCTAGGGATATTAGATCCAATGTAGATGTCTTCACCTGCGTGAATGAGACACCAAAATATTCTGGACATTCCTCTCATGTCCTTATATTTTTTCCCTAGCACTTGGGTTGTTGTTGCATCGCATGGGGGGCTGTCACAACAGCTGTTCATCACTTGACTGTCATTCGGAAAAATTCCTTCCTGGATCAGATGATGACGTGTGAAAATATCACGGTGTAACTAATCAGATGAACACCAAATGCACATGCCAGAAGTAATATGCATAATTATTAAAGAACCATATTAATGATAGTATCGATTTAGGTTTTATGGACACTACATGACCAAAAGTGTGTGGACACCTGCTCGTCGAACATCTCATTCCAAACTCATGGGCATTAATATGGAGTTATTTGGTCCACCCTTTGCTGCTATAACTGCCTCCACTCTTCTGGGAAAGCTTTCCACTAGATGTTGGAATATTGCTGCGGGGACTTGCTTCCATTCAGCCACAAGAGCATTAGTGAGGTCGGGCACTGATGTTGGGCGATTAGGCCTGGCTCGCAGTCGGTGTTCCAATTCATCCCAAATGGGTTCGATGGGGTTGAGTTCAGGGCTCTGTGCAGGCCAGTCAAGTTCTTCCACACCGATCTCGACAAACCATTTCTGTATGGACCTCGCTTTGTGCACGGAAGCATTGTCATGCTAAAGCAGGAAAGGGCCTTCCCCAAACTGTTGCCACAACGTTGCCACAACGTTGGAAGAACAGAATCGTCTAGAATGTCATTGTATACTGTCCACATACATTTGTATATATATGGTGTATCTTTGGTTTTGGTCACATTCAGTTGTAAGAATGCACTGTCACACTGTACTAAATCATAAAGAATAGGACCAACGGCATGAAGGAGACTGGCTTTTACAGAGTCGTCCACAAACTTCAGGATTTGTGGGTTCTCGTACTCGCTACGCCAATCATCAGTGTACAGGAAATAGAGGAGTGGCGAGGACACATCCCTGGGGTGAGCCTGTTGATGATGACAGCTCCCGTGACAGTCACCGTCTGGGGGTCTGTTGGTTAGAAAGTCAAGGATCCAGCCCACAACATGACAGTTTGGTTGTTTTTTCTGTCCCCGGGTGTTAACCCCATTTATTTTTTTATGACCGGGCCTGTTTTTAATGGGATAAAGATCCTAATACAAAAAGTGGGGGGGCTTCTTCGGGGGCCCCTAAAACTCTTCTCTCCCTTTCTCTTCTTTCTATTCTTGGATCTGTCTCTCTATGATCTCTCTCTCTCCTCTCTCTCCCTTCTTCCTCTTCTCTCTCTTTTCTTCCCTCTCCCCTTCTCTCTTTTCTTCTCTCCTTGGGTCTTCTCTTTTGGGCCTCTTCTTCTGTATCTTGTTTTTCTCTATGATCTATGTCTGGCCCCGTATCTCTGTACTGTTGCGCTCTCCGCTATTTTGATGAAAAAAACCCAATTTCACACCCACTATTTCAGTGCTCTGTAGCTCTTCCCAAAACAGGGAGGAGAGGGGGGGGGAAGGAGGAGAGGGGAGAGAGAGAGAGGAAAAGAGAAGGGGGAGAGAGGGGGTGAGAGAGAGAGAGAGAGAGAGAGGAGGAAGGGAGAGAGAGAGAGAGAGAGAGGGGAGAGGGGAGAGGGGAGGAGAGGGGAGGGAGGAGAGGAGAGGAGAGGGGAGAGGGGAGGGGGGGAGAGGAGAGGAGAGGGAGAGAGGGAGGAGAGGGAGGAGAGGAGAGGAGAGGGAGCGGGATGGTGATGTGGGGGCTACCCGCCCTTTCCGTTCAAAACCCAGGAGTCTGGGCCCCCCCCACAAAAAACACACACAAAAACCACACACCACAAAACACCCCAAAACACAGGGGAAAAACAAAGGCTGTCCCCTCTATCCTGGGTCCTTGGGGGGGAGAGAAGGTCCAAAAACTGAGCCAGTTTACGCCTCTCCAATCTCCCCCCCGGTTTCCAAACCGGCCCCGGTTTTGTTAGCCAGCCCGGGGACACTTTACCCTTTACTATAACCCCTTTTAACATTTTATACCCCCCAAGCCTTCTGGGAAGGGCAGTAAAAACCCGTTTTGCCGCTAAATGTGAATACATTCAGGGTCCCCGTTAAAAAAACACCCAAAAAAGTGGGAAATAAGTGGTGTTACTCCCCCTTTTTCCCCTCCTCCTTCCCAAACAAAAAAGAAAAACCAAGCCAAAAAAAAAAAGAAAAATCCTTTTTTCATTTTAAAAAACCGGGGGGTTTTTCCCTTTTTTTTTATTTTCCCCCCTTTTTTTTTTGGTTTTTGGGGCTCTCTCTTCCCCTTCCTTATCCCTTTTTTCTTCCCCTCCCTTTTTTTTCCTTTCTTCTTCTCCCCTCCCTTTTAAACCATTTTTCCCCCCCATTCCCGGCCCCTTTTTTTGTAGGGGGGGGAAAAAAAAAAAAAAAAAAAAAAAAGGGGGAAAAAGGGGGGGGGGGGGGGAAAAAAAAAGGGGGGAGGGGAAAAAAGGGGAGGGGGAAAAGCGGGGGAAAAAGGGGGGAAAAAGGGGGGGGGAAAAAGGGGGGGGGAAAAAAAAAAGGGGGGGGGGGGAAAAAAAAAGGGGGGGGGGTGGGGGGGGGGGGGAAAAAAAAAAAAAAAAAAACAAAAGGGAAAAGGGGGCAAAATTGGGTTCGGGGGAAACCCCCCCCCCCCCCCCCCCCCCCCCCCCCCCCCCCTTTTTTCCCCCCTTTCACCCCCTTTTATCCCCTTTACTTCCCCCCCCCTTTTTCCCCTTTTTCCCCCCCCGGGCCCCTTTTTTATCCCCCCAAAAAAATTTTTTCCCCCCCTTTTAATCCTTTCCCCCTTTTTCCCCCCCCCCTCTTTTTTTAAAAAAAAAAAAAAAAAAAAAAAACCCCCCCAAAAAACCCCCCCCCCCCCCCCCCCCCCCCCCCCCCCCCCCCCCCCCCCCCCCCCCCCCCCCCCCCCCCCCCCCCCCCCCCCCCCCCCCCTTTTTTCCCCCCCCAAAAACCCCCCCCCCCCACCCCCCCCCCCCCCCCCCCCCCAAAAAACCCCCCCCCCCCCCCCCCCCCCCCCCAAAAAAAAACCCCCCCCCCCCCCCCCCCTTTCCCCCTTTAAAAAAACCCCCCCCCCCCCCCCTTTTTTTCCCCCCCCTTTCCCCTTTTCCTCCCCTTTTTCCCCCTTTCCCCCCCCTTTCCCCCCTCCTCCCCCTTTTCCCCCCCCCCCTCCTCCTCCCCCCCCCTCCCCCCCTTTTCCCCCCCTTCCCCCTTCCCCCCCCCCTTTTTTCCTCCCTTTCCCCTCCCCCCCCCCCCTCCCCCTCCGTTTCCCCCATCCCCTCCCCCCCCTCTCCATCCCTCCCCCCCTTTTCCCTTCTTTTCCCCCCCCCCTTTTTCCCCCCCTTTAACCTTTCCCCCCCACCCCCCTTTTGCCCCCCCCCCCCCCCCCCCCCAAAAACCCCCAAAAAAACAAACCGGCCCCCAAACCCCCCCCTTTTAGGGGAAAAACCCTTCCCAAACCCCCCCTTTTGTTTTCACCCCCTCCCCCCCCTTTTTAAAAACCCCCCCATTTCCCCTTTAAAAAAAAAACCCCCCCTTTTTTTTGTTTTTCCCCAAAACCCCTTTCTTCCCCCTTTTTTCCCCTTTGTTTTGGGGGCCTTCCTTTAACCCCCTTTTTTAAAGGGCCCGGGAAACCCGCCCCCAAGGTTCATTTTTTTCGGGGCTTTTCCCCCTTCCCTCGGGCCTTCCCTTTCCGGGACAGAAAGGGGTCCCTAAAAACCCCGGGTTGAACCCCTCCCGTGGAAAAGACCCCCGGGAATTGGTTTGATAATTAGACCCTTTAAGGGGACAGGTTAAAAATGGCCCCCCCAAATGGGGGAGGAGGTGGGAAAAATTTAGAACCGGGGTTTGGGAAATTGCCCCAGGCAGGGGGGTGGGAGCCCAAGAGGAGGGGGGTTGACTAATTTAACCCCGGAGAGGGGGGTTTTTGGGGGGAAAAAAGGGGGTTTTTTGGGTTTTTTTTTTTCCCCCCCGGGGGTTTTTTCTTTTGGATTCCTGCCTTTTTTTTCTCCCGGGGGGGCCCCTTTTTTCCTTCCCGGGTTTTTTGGGGGCAGGGTTTCCCTTTTTTCTGCTTTTTGCCCGGGGGGGGGGGCCCCCCCTTTTTTTGGCGCTCTTTTTCCCCCTTCCCCCCCTTTTTTTGGGCCCTTTTCCGGTTTTTTCCCCCCCCCGGGGTTTCCGCTCCATTTTCCGCCCTTTCCGGGGGGCCTGGGGCTTTGGCCCCTTTCGGGGCGGGGGTGGCCCCGGGGGGGGGTGGGGGGGGGGGGGGGGGGGGGGTGGGGGGGGGGGAGAGGGGGGAGGGGGGGGTGGGGGGGGGGGGGGGGGGGGGGGGGGGGGGGGGGGGGGGGGGGGGGGGAGAGATATGGAGGGAGTAAAGGGGAGAGGAATGGGGAGATAGAGGGGTGGATGGAGTAGAGAGGGAGAGATGGGGAGAGAGATGGAGGAGTAAAGAGGGAGAGAGATGGAGGAGTAGAGAGGGAGAGATGGGGAGAGAGATGGAGGAGTAGAGAGGGAGGAGATGGGGAGAGAGATGGAGAGTCACGGGGAGGGAGAGATGAGGGAGAGAGATGGAGGAAGAGAGAGAGGGAGACGAAGGAGGAGGAGAGAGAGGAGGAGATGGGAGAGAGAGATGGAGCGCGTAAAGGGTAAAGAGGAGAGATGGAGAAGTAGTAGAGAGGGAGAGAGGGAGGAGTAGAGAAGTAGAGACAGGGAGAGATGGGGAGAGAGATGGAGCGAGAGAGAGGGGGAGAGAGGGAGGAGGAGAGAGGGAGAGATGGAGGAGTAGAGAGGGAGAGATGGAGAGAGATATGGAGGAGTTAAGGGGAGCGATGGAGGGAGGAGAGAGGGAGGAGAGATGGAGGAGGAAGAGAGGGAGAGATGGGGAGAAGAGAGATGGAGTGAGGAGAGAGGAGAGATGGGAGAGAGATGGAGGAGAGTAAGTAAGTAAGAGCGAGGACGATGATGGGAGAGAGATGGGAGTAGAGAGGAGAGATGGGGGTGGAGGATGGATGGAGGGAGAGGATGGAGAGAGAGATGGAAGAGTAGAGAGGATAAGAGAAGACAGGAAAGGAGAAAAGAGGAGAAAAGAGGAGAAGAGAGGATTGTGAGCATGATGTCATGCGGTCCATACAGGGAGGGAGGGAGGCCTTCCTCTCGAGGGGGCTTGCATATCCATCATAACCCAGAGATAATTATTCCAATTAAACGTGAGCGGAAAACAGTTCTTGATTCTCAGCCATATCTAAGTGTTAATGAGTGGAAACCCGTTCCCCAGAAAGAGGACCCCCCCCAGACTGTTTTCGACCCTATTCAGTGCTAGTTAAATTGGAAAACCCGCGTTCCCCAGAGAAGACCGCAGATCGGTTTTTCTTCACCCTATTCAGTGTTTGTTTTAATGAAAACCCGTTCCCAGAGACCCACAGAAAGCGTTTCACTCAGGCCCTATTTCAGTGTTTAAGAATGGAAGAACCCGTTTCCCCAGAGGACCAGAAGGGAGACTGTTTCTGCACCCTTTCAGTGTTATGACATGAACCCGTTGTTGTGTTTCCCAAGTAGGCCCCCAAGAGCAGAGGGACCCAGATGTTTCTCACCCTATTCAGTGTTAATGAAACCCGTTCCCCAGAGACCCAGACTGTTTCTCACCCTATTCAGTGTTAATGAAACCCGTTCCCCAGAGACCCAGACTGTTTCTCACCCTATTCAGTGTTAATGAAACCCGTTCCCCAGAGACCCAGACTGTTTCTCACCCTATTGAGTGTTAATGAAACCCGTTCCCCAGAGACCCAGACTGTTTCACCTTGTCTGGGAGTCAGTGTGTATGAAAACCGGGTTCCCAGGAGCCAGACTGTTCTCACCCTATCAGTGTTAATGAAAACCAGTTCCGCAGAGACCCAGACTGGTTCTTACCTATCAGTGGTAATGAAAACCCCTTCACCCCAAGAAGGCACAGACTGTTTCTCACCCTATTCAGTGTTAATGAAACCCGTTCCCCAGGAGACCCAGACTGTTTTCTCACCGCTGATTCAGTGTAATGACAAACCGTTCCCAGAGACCCCGACTGTTCACCCTATTCAGTGTACAATGAAACCCGTTTCCCAGAGACCCAGGACTGTTTCTTCACCCTATTAGTCAGTTAATGAAAACGTTTTCCCCAGAGACCCATGATGTTTGTCACTATGTAAATACCTTAATGACAACCGCTCTCATTAACAACAAGGTAACTGTAAGTGGCTCTGGATAAGAGCGTCTGCTAAATGACTAAAAGGTAATGTAAATGAACTGTGTGGGTGTGTGTGTGGTGTTTGTGTGCGTGTATGTGGTGTGTGCTAAATTGTGTGTGTCAATGAAGCATATTACTAGATTGGAATATTTTGCATCTACATCTGGCTGAGATTCCTTGAGTCTTACAAATGCTCAGACAGGGACCATGCCCGTGGTGTTGTTATTGTTCACGGTGTTGGTGTTAATGGTAATGGTTGTTATTGTGTTATTTGTTGTTGTATTAATGTTGTATATGTTGCTGTGCACTAAACATGCGAGCAGCAGTATTTAGTAATTAAGCCTCGTTTTAACCAGGCAGAAATAGCACCTCTCGGGCTTCTCTGATGAAGCGGCAGGAAAATAGATTAGAGGCACGTCACGGATTAATAAAAGATTGACCGATAGTATTGGCGATCATTAGCCTATTCACATAAATTATTTGTATCTGTCTTTTATTCCACAGATGATAAGCGCGAGTTTTATTATACTAGAATTAATACAAATAGATTCTATCACGTATTTTGGATATTCCATATGGTGCATGTTGAGGAGTTATGAAGGATGTAATGCATTATGTGAGTGAAAACATCGCCCGTGTTATTGAAACGAGGCTAGCTTGTGTTGGTTTCGGTAAGAAAACATCGTTGTCTTGAAAAGATGACAGCTAGCTGTTGTGGTTTCTGAAGAAAACAATCGTCTTAATGAAACAGCTAGCTTGTGCTGGTTTTCTGTAAGAAATGTAGACATCGCGCTTAATGAGACAGCTAGCTATATAAAATTATCGCAAGATTGTGCTGGGTTTTCTTAGATAAGAAAAACACGCCATTTAATGATACGGCTATGGCTTGTGCTCTGGTTCTGTAAGAAAACACGTTGAACTGAAACGGCTAGCTTGTGTTGGTTTCTGTAAGAAAAACATTGTATGTCTAATGAACAGCTAGTTGTGCTTGGTTTCTGTAAGGAAACATCGTCCTTAGATGAAACAGCTAGCTTTGTGCGTGGTTTCTGTAAGAAAAAACATGTCTTAATGAACAGCTAGCTTGTGCTTGGTTTCTGTAAGAAACAAAACAGTCGATGATAGAATGACAGATGGCTTGTGCTTGTTTCTGTCTAAGAAACAACTGTCACTTAATGAAAGCTAGCTGTGATGGTTTCTGTACAAGAACAACATCGTTGACTTAATGAACAGCTAGATTGTTGCTTGGTTTCTGTAAGAAGAAAAAACATCTCTTATGAACAGCTTAGCTTGTGCTTGGTTTCTGTAAGAAATACATCGCCTACAGGAAACAGCTAAGCTTGTGCTTGGTTTCTGTAAGAAAACATCGTCTTAATGAACAGCTAGCTTGTGCTTGGTTTCTGTAAGAAAACATCGTCTTAATGAACAGCTAGCTTGTGCTTGGTTTCTGTAAGAAAACATCGTCTTAATGAACAGCTAGCTTGTGCTTGGTTTCTGTAAGAAGAAAACAACCTCGCAGATTTATTATGACAGCTACTTGTGCTTGGTTCTGTAAGAAAACATCGTACTTAATCGAAAAACAGCTAGCTGGGGCTTGGTTTCTGTAAGAAAAACATTCGCCTTAATGAACCTAGCTTGTGTTGCTTGGTTCTGTAAGACAACATCGTCTAATGAAAGCTAGCTTGTGCTTGGTTTCTGTAGAAAACTCGTCTTAAGAACAGCAGCTTGCCCACCCAAATTGGTGCTTGGTTCTGTAAGATTGGAAAACATGAGTTTCTTATTTATGAACAAGCTAGGCTTGTGCTTCCCAGCTTGTGTCACAACAGTCACATTCTCAATTCGACTGGCTAGGGTTGGTTGCGACACAAGAGCTGTTTGTGTACAGTTGACCTTTGACTGTTGTAAACACTGTAGTAAATCTAGTCAAGACAAATGCTGACACCTAGTGGTGACGTTACGAACGGCATGTTACTGCTTACTTGTGAACAGTGCAGTTTCAGATTGACTTTGAGACAAAGTTGAATTCTTTCAGCCAGCCACCCCTTGTGGTGGTTTAGCGCAAACACTTATTGTCCACTGCCATAGATAGACACGTCTTTAAGTTGTCCCTAAGAAGGTACACTAAACAAGTTTTGTATTTACTGTCGTTTTTTTTCATTTACATTTTAGTAATTTAGCAGATGCTCTTATCCAGAGCGACTTACAGGAGCAATTAGGGTTAAGTGCCTTGCTCAAGGGCACATCAACAGATCTTTCACCTAGTCGGCTCGGGGATTAGAACCAGCGACCTTTCGGTTACTGGCACAACGCTCTTAACCACTAAGCTACCTGCCGCCTTTATAGAGGATATACTGTAGTTGCTTTTTGGTGGATGTCCTATAAACCACAAATAAAACTTTCTTAAATAATGTTAATTTCAATATTTTGTTAAGAAATCATCATTTAGATTATCTGTTAATCCTTTGGAGCACAATTTGTGTAAAAAAATAAAGGTATGTTTTTTAATCCCCCTCATTTATTGGCAGATACAGTGGGGGAAAAAAGTATTTAGTCAGCCACCAATTGTGCAAGTTCTCCCACTTAAAAAGATGAGAGAGGCCTGTAATTTTCATCATAGGTACACGTCAACTATGACAGACAAAATGTGGAATAAAAATCCAGAAAATCACATTGTAGGATTTTTAATGAATTTATTTACAAATTATGGGGGAAAATAAGTATTTGGTCAATAACAAAAGTTTCTCAATACTTTGTTATATACCCTTTGTTGGCAATGACACAGGTCAAACGTTTTCTGTAAGTCTTCACAAGGTTTTCACACACTGTTGCTGGTATTTTGGCCCATTCCTCCATGCAGATCTCCTCTAGAGCAGTGATGTTTTGGGGCTGTCGCTGGGCAACACAGACTTTCAACTCCCTCCAAAGATTTTCTATGGGGTTGAGATCTGGAGACTGGCTAGGCCACTCCAGGACCTTGAAATGCTTCTTACGAAGCCACTCCTTCGTTGCCCGGGCGGTGTGTTTGGGATCATTGTCATGCTGAAAGACCAAGCCACGTTTCATCTTCAATGCCCTTGCTGATGGAAGGAGGTTTTCACTCAAAATCTCACGATACATGGCCCCATTCATTCTTTCCTTTACACGGATCAGTCGTCCTGGTCCCTTTGCAGAAAAACAGCCCCAAAGCATGATGTTTCAACCCCCATGCTTCACAGTAGGTATGGTGTTCTTTGGATGCAACTCAGCATTCTTTGTCCTCCAAACACGACGAGTTGAGTTTTTTAACCAAAAAGTTATATTTTGGTTTCATCTGACCATATGACATTCTCCCAATCCTCTTCTGGATCATCCAAATGCACTTCAGACGGGCCTGGACATGTACTGGCTTAAGCAGGGGGACACATCTTGCACTGCAGGATTTGAGTCCCTGGCGGCGTAGTGTGTTACTGATGGTAGGCTTTGTTACTTTGGTCCCAGCTCTCTGCAGGTCATTCACTAGGTCCCCCGTGTGGTTCTGGGATTTTTGCTCACCGTTCTTGTGATCAATTTGACCCCACGGGGTGAGATCTTGCGTGGAGC